CCTTAACGCTCCTATCTGTAGCTGCAGTGTTGACTCGCCGTGGATGGGAAGCTTCGTACCGTCCACCATCATTGCTGTAAACTGGGTCTCTTCTGAGGATTCTTCAATTTTCTCCAACGTCCCGCGGTCGCACACCGAGTGGGACGCACCACTGTCCACCAGTGTCTGGAGGCGTCGCCCGTTGCAGATCACCTCGAGTACTAGTGGCTGTTGCTGCTCCGAGTAGCCGTAGATGGTATCGCTTATAGGATCGTAGGGTACGTCGAATATGTCATCCCTAGGTCCTGCGCTCGAAGATGCAGCTTCAATATCAGGTATCACCTGAGTAGGGTTAGAAGGATTTATCCGAGGCTGGTACAGCTTCTCTCGAGCTTGGAACCTTCCCCTAGGCCTTTGCAGCTGTGTAGGCTTCATCTGTGGGGAACTTGGAGCCTTTAAACAGAGCTGCTGGGAGAGAATATTAACTCCTCGGAACGCTCGACCCTTGTTAGCGCTCCGGAGTAGGGTCCCCATATTACCCGGTACCGGTTTAATTTCTGACTCTCCCTTAATAAAGGCTTGAAACCCACGAGAAGTAATATTCTTACTTGTCGGGGTGTACGGCTGGAGTTTCCCAGTCGGTGCAGAGTCTTGTTTCGCGGAGTCTCCATTTGTCTCGGCGATTTCCCCTGGTGCCGGCTGGTCGTGACGTTTTAAACTCGCGCCATCATATTCTCCTTTTTTCGCCCTCTCCGAAGTTGCCACGTTGTCCGTTTTCTGCTTCGGGGGTGCCGCACTGTTCTTGTATCTCAGCTCCGCACGCCTTCCCTTCATTTCCCAACACGCCAAGATACGATGTCCTGTAGCGCCGCAAAATTTGTACGTCTCAGTTTTTGCTAGCCGCTGCTCCACATCGCCCTCGTCGTTCTCCATCGGTTCAGCAGTCGTGGGTGGTGCCAATCGCCCCATGCCACTAGTTGGCTTGTTGCGTCGTGTTCCGTAGTAGCTACTGTTCAACGTGTCGAACTGTTCGATCAGTGCTGCCCGAAACTGCGCCCACGTCCCTTCGCCTTGGACTATTCTGTTGTTGATCCACTCTAGAGCTGGGCCTTGTAACAGTGTTGCTGCGAGCCGTATGCGCATTGCGTCTTCTGTCGGGGTCGTGCACCCAACGGCTTCGAAGTAAATTTCGAGTTCAGCTACAAATCGACGAACGTCGTTCCCTTTAACTATAGGATCGAACGCCTCCGGTAGCCTCAGCTTCACTGCTTCGAGGTTAACTGTAGCTGCTGCCGTTGTCGCAGGTAGAATTGTCGGTGTTGCCGCTACTGCTGCTGCTGTCGCTGCTGCATTCGCTGCTGCTGTGGCGGTTGCCGACTGGTTCGCAAGGAGTTTCTCGAGTCGTGGGAGCGCCGCACGTATTGCGAGTCGAGTTGACTGTAGAATCGACGAGCACAAATTCTGTAAGTCGCGTAAATCTTCCTTAGTCGAAATTCGCGTTCGATCTCGGCCGTTGAGAAGAAACTCGATCCGACGCTCCAAATTCCAACTTTTTGGGGCGAAATTCTCTGGGCCGTTGAGATGAAACTCGATCGAACGGTCGAAACTCCAACCTTTCCACCAGTAAATCTGAGGGGTGTTAAAAAACCGAATCGAGGGAGACTTAGAAAAATTGCGCGGAACTGGTTTTACATACCCGTATCGGCGCCTTCGTCGTCGCCCCCGCGGTTTTTAAAGGCCGGAACTACGCGGTTGAAGACCTCGCGTGTAAACCCGCTCTGATACCAAGTGTGAGGATCTGGTTCAGGAAAGATGATTCTATTGAATGATTCACCTGGGTACAAGGCGAGGCTATATATAGGCTCGACACAAAGGCAGTAACCCGGGTGTTACTAGAAGGTTCCGCGGGTCGCGAAGCGTCCCGAACGGGTCCTTCCCGAATTCGGTAGAAGGCAATTCGGTGGCAACCGAAAAGCCTAGAATTCGGTGCACTCAACCTAGTTTGGTGCCTATAACTATAATAACTATAGTAAAGGCAACGAATCTAGGAAATCAAGCAAAAGCATGCAAGATAAAATAAAGCTAAGCTAGTAATAACATAATAAAGTCCAGGCAAGCTAGCAAAGCCAGCATAAGCCGTCGTACTCTCACACAGCACGTGATGTCATTTTCTACTAACGACTCACCCTCGACTCCTACCAAGCCAACTTGGCAGAACAGCGAGACCTCACCAGTGGTTTTCGAGGAGACCGAGCCTTCGCTTCGGCAGCCGACGAAGCTGACTTGGACGAGCAAAATGTGGATGGAGCCTCGGAAGAAGCCGGACCACTCCCATACTGCTGGATGGACATACCGATGGATGACAACAATCCTCGCGAAAGCATCAACGCCGAAGTCTTCTACGACCTCGCCGACGAAGGTTACGTTACACCTGCACAAGTCAACACCGACGAAGCAGAACGCATAGGACCAAACTTCATACCCGATCCAGAAACGGGAGACGAAGCAGTCTATCCCGAGGACACAACACTCCCCCGCTACACACAGAGTGGACTCCAGATACTCGGCCTCGTCACCGCGGTTCACGGCACGGCGATTCCTAAGGAGCCTGCCACAGTTCAGCAGGCTCTGGGGGGGGGGCATAGAGAAAAATGGCGCGAAGCCATGGACAGGGAACTGAAAGCACTGGAGGAGCGCAACACTTGGAAAAGTGTTCCCGTCAGCACGGCACAAAACAAGACAATACTCACCGGGAAATGGGTCTTCCGTGTGAAGACAAAGGCAGACGGCACCATCGACAAATTTAAGGCGCGCTGGGTCGTACGCGGCTTCGACCAAGAACACGGACGCGACTTCACCGAAACATTCGCTCCAGTGAGCCGACACACGTCATTACGAATTCTCCTCGAGGTCGCCGCCATGAAGAAGAAGAAGCTGCGGCAAATTGACGTCGCCAACGCATTTCTCTACGCACCTGTCGACGCAGAAATCTTCGTCGAGTTACCGCATGGCTCCAGCACAGACTCCAACCACGTCTGCCAGCTACTCAAGTCCTTATACGGCATTAAGCAAGCCCCGCGGTTATGGCAACAATACATGCACGCTCGCCTCATCCGCATCGGCTTCAAGCAGCTACCGCACGATCAGGGCATGTACCGGCTCACGAAAGGCACCGACTACATCCTGCTAATCGTCTACGTAGACGACCTTCTCTATATCGGCTCGACCGACAGTGTCACAACCTGGTTCGAAGGGGAACCGCAGAAGGACCTCACTCTCACAGTCTCATCCACCGTCGCGCAGTATCTCGGGCTCAACATCCAGGAAGAAGAGGACGCAATCTACCTCAGCGCCGCAAAATACGCCGACACCATCGCCAAACGATTCGCACTTACACCAACTACCATCTCCACACCATACCGCTACACGGCAGGAAATCACAAGGAAGGCTCCGCCCTACTCAAAGCCGCCGGCATACGCGATTACCAGAGGAAACTAGGATGTCTCCTCTTCGCAGCTGTCACCTGCCGTCCGGATCTATCGTACTCTGCAAGTCAGCTCGCCACCTACCTCAAGAAACCTGAAGCGGAACATCTGGCAGAACTCGACGTGCTCTTCACTACCTCGTCAGCACTCCGACAATCGGTCTGACCTACCATAAGAACGGAACGACAACACCCAAGCTAATCGGCTACGTCGACGCCGATCACGCCGGCGACTCCGACAACAGGCGCTCACGCACCGGCTACGTCTACCGCCTCGAGCCTATCGGACCTATCTCCTGGCAGTCGAGCAAGCAGGAGCTAATCGCCCTCTCCTCAGCTGAAGCAGAATATATCGCACTCTGCTCAGCCACCAAGGAAGGATTGTACCTTCGCGAACTTCTGGAGGAGGCAAAGCTGGCTCAGTTACCCAGCTTCACCCTGTTCTGCGACAATCAATCGGCAATTCGCATAGCCAACAAGAATGGCTTCGCGAATAGAACGAAGCACATCGCCCTGCGATACTTCTTCGTGAAGGACGAGATCGAGAAGGGGAGACTCGAGCTGTCATACTGCCCCACGTCCGAGATGGCAGCTGACTACTTGACCAAAAAGCTCGGAAAGCAGAAATTCGAGTATTGCATGGTGCTGACTGGACAAGACCACGTCATCAACAGTGACACTCCAGAAGCGAAGGGGAGTGTTGGAAACAATTGATTTAAAGCGCTTCTGTCGTGGCGAAACACCAAGTCACAAGCGAAGCAAAGCATATCGAAGCACCGGCGAGTCAACCCTCGGAGGTTGAAGTAACCGCTGGAGGTTACGCGAAAGTCAAAGGTCAGCGACCTTTGACCTGACTAGTACAGTGCGACAGCAAGGACACACAACTGACTCGTTACAGAGCAGTTGCCAGAGCCGTCACTGTATCGAACCGCAACAGCAACAATAAAACAGTTATAGCTGTATCCTTTCATATTCCTTGTTTTCTTATATAATCTTGTATCTCTCTGCTTTAATCAACTTACTTTGCAGAAAGAAGCTATGGTACATACTTTCAAACAGTTTCTCCGTCACAAAACACATCCTAATAGCTGTTCAGAGAGCATTTAATTTAGTGACCAGACCAGCTAATCTACCAACCTGCCCTTCTTCAAAGAGCAGTTCCTCCCTGTCCATTCCTTTCCACGCCGCCCCACTCCCTCCCTGTCCACCAATGGTAGCTGCCGAAACAAATCCACATCACCCAGAACCTGCCATGCCATGCCATGCCATGCCATACCATACCATGCCATGCCATGCCATGCCATTCCATGACAATGCCATCCACACTACAAAATTGTTGATATTCAAATGTTGGTTACATAGGCTACAAAAACATTTCACCGTGCCATGCCATTGACACTCAAGAGAAGAAGTCATGGAAACGGTAACCTAAACCCACAGTCAGTATGTTGACAGGAGATGGGGAGAAAGGAGGAAGAGAAGGGAATGTGGGGGAAGCAATTGCAGGAACAATATGAAGATAGTGTGAGGGAAATATCATATCATACTCACCTGCTGCAGCACTTGCATCTTTTCCTCGAGTCCAATACAGCAGTTGGAATGAACAGTGACCAGCCGCCCCAGCTGCCGCCCGATCTCGCAGAATCCGCCAAAGCGGTTTGTCGGCAGGTAGTGGATGGAGAGATGGAGAGTGTCGCGGGTGTATGGGTCTGCCTCGGGTCGCACTTTCATGAATGCATCCTGCTCCTTAATACCAGGGAAGCTGCTTTTCACGGGGGGGGGGGGGGGGGGGGGGAGGAGGGAGGGGTGGAGGAGGGAGGTGGAGAGGCTTGAAAAGGATGGCGTCTGGTAACATGGAGACCTGTGGTATATAATAGCGCATGCAATAGTCGGCTTCAGAATTGAATGAAGGCAGCTTACCGTAAGTGTTAAATCCCGTAGGGCTGGAAAAAGGGAGGGTGGTTGGTGGGAGGTTGGGGTGAGGGATGTGCAAAACGGTGTAGGTGAATGACGAGGTGTGCGGGGGAATAACGAGGTGTGCAGGGGAATGACGAGGTGTGGGGGGTCATAAAGAGGGTATGGGTAGGCAAGAAGAGGTGTGTGGGCGGGGATGGGTGTCAGATACATGTATCGTCATGTATCCTGCATATAGTGATCGAGTTTCCGCATCTCAACCAGATGGAGTAGAAACAAGAACCTCAAGAAAAAAAAAAAAAAAAAAAAAAAAAAAAAAACCGAATCCAACTACTTTGTGTACAAGCAATACATTCTTCTATGCCAAGGCCCCCAATAAATGAAACATAGCAAAGTGCCGCTACTGCAAGCACAAAGTTGCCACCGACCATATTCGCTGCACCGCTAATCTTGCGATTTGGAAAAACACAACCCCGTTGGCCAATCTTGATATGCACTAAAGCCCCGAAGGACGTAGGGGATGGCTTTGGCAACATGGAGGAAAAAAATGTGCAGTGAGAGCAGAAAGAAAAAAGCAGATGTCAGGGAGCGGTACAGGGGAGCGACGTGATTGGAAAAACTTTTGAGGCGCCTCAAAGGTCGTGCAGTGAGCGGTACAGGGAGCGACGCGATTGGGAAAAAGAGGGATCACATGTTGAAAGAGAACGAAGGGAGTGGTGCGAAGAGCGCGACGGACGAGGCCGTATGCCTCTTGAGTCGACTCAAAGGTCACTCAAGAGTCGACTCAAAAGTCACTCAAGAGTCGACTGAAAAGTCGGATGAGGACGTATGCTTGCCTCTACATTGCGGGCATGCACGCTCCCAAAAACCAGGCCAGGCCGACCATCCTCTACTCTTCAACATGCTGAGGGCGGTGGCGTGGGCAGAGCGGTTGGAAGTCGAGACGCTCACCGGGTATGGGCGTTGATCCAGTAGTCAATCAAAGAATCGACTTTTCAGTTGACTTGACTTTTGAGTCGACTCAAAAGTGAAGTCGAGACGCTCACCAGGTATGGGCATTGATCCAGTCGTCAAAGAATCGCAGCACACAGCTGTCACTGCGAGCCATGAAGAGCCCCCGATTGGCCGCTGCTGCCGCCTTGCCTTGGGGTGTGAAAGAGTGGTGCGAGAAAAGAAGAGGGGAAGGGAGGCTTACCGGGTGTGGGAAAAGAAGAGGGTAAGGGAGGCTTACCGGGTGTGGGAAAAGAAGAGGGGAAGGGAGGCTCACCGGGTATGGGAAGCGATCCAGTAGTCGAAGAATTGCAGAACACGGTCGTTGCTCCGAGCCATGTAGAGCCCCGTATTGGCTCTCGCCGCCTTGACGTCTGCCGACCAGTGATCGCAGGCTACCAAGATGTCGGATGATATGGGGAGCAGGTGGGGAAGGGGGTTCTGGTATAGAGGAAAAGAAGGTGCGTTGGGAGGGGCGAGGGGGGGGGGGGAGGGAGAGGGGAGAATGAAGGAGGGAGAAGAAGAGGGATCCGTGAAGAAAGTCAGCAGATGAAGTGGTTGGAGACAGCAAAATAAGAAGGTTGTTACAACAGGTTGTGTACAGTTGCTTTTCCCTGTGTTCTCTAAGAGAATGATTTTGGAAGATGTCTCAAAGCGAGTCAGATTGCACATAGCAACATGGCGTTGCTGCATGCATGAATGCATCCACAAGACGTCATTGCCACCCACCTGCAGCCACATGACGTCAGTGCCACCCACCTGCAGCCACATGACGTCAGTACCACCCACCTGCAGCCACATGACATCATTGTCTGTGAAGATCACATCAAATCCTAAAGATATGATTCGCCTGATGATATGCAGACGCCTCCAGACCTGAGCAGAGAGGAGAGGACGAAAGCAAATACAAGAAATGAGGTGAGATAGAGGGGAGATGAGAGATGAGAGATGCGGGGAGATGAGGAGAGATGAGGAGGGATGAGGAGATGAGGAGATGAGGAGATGAGGAGATGAGGAGATGAGGATGAAGATAGAGTCTAGAGCAACAGCGGGGGAGTGGGCAGAGATGATACGATAATCGACCAGGACGAAAAGGGGAAAAACAGCAGGGACGTCCATCCAGATCTCTCAGCATACGGCCCACCCAGAAAGGCATTAATACCAGGTGCACTAATACCAGGTGCACTAATACCAGGTGCACTAATACCAGGTGCACTAATACCAGGTGCACAAAGGCCGGGGTCATGTATTTCTTCTGCCCGCCACTGAAATCGTCCCTCTCGCCCTCTGGTGCATCCTCCTGCCCGCAAAAAAAAGAAGACAGAAAGGGGCGAGGAGTTTTTTTACCAGGTGGACATAGGAGGGGGATGTAGGTTGGAGGGGGGGGGGGCGGGGGGGGGGGGGGGGGGGGGGGGGAGGGGGGTTGGAATGAAGAACATACCTCGAACTGACAGCTTATGATGTGAGAGGTGACGTTGGTTCCCTAATCTACATACCGTGCTCCCTCCCTTCTGAGAATTCCCAAAAATGGCACGCATGCTCCCTCCCTTCGCATGCTCCCTCCCTTCACATGCTCTGCACCCGTGAAGCCTACACTGCTGCCAGTCCAATTGGTCACTAGCCCAGCGATAGAACTGTCTGTTATTGTGAGACCCCTTCTACCCCGTCTCAAAATAGCACTTCTAGTACCCCTTGATGCCTGCGGTGCTGCTGCCAGTCAAGTTGGTCTCTAGCCAAGGAAGCAGTGCGGGCGAGCGCACCTGTGTGTGGAATTCAGCAGTGCGGTGCGGTGGGGACACCACACGCACCTGAGTGTCAAGGAAGCAGTGCGGTGTGGACACACGCACCTGAGTGTCAAGGAAGCAGTGCAGGCGGAGCGAGCAGCAGAAGGCGAGGCTGCGATGGTCATAGCAGATCACCAGCAGGCGAGACACCAGCGAGCCTGGGGTCTTTTGAGACGTCTCAAGAGACACAAGCGTGCCTGATGCCCGGCGAGGGCCATGCCCTGTGCGTGGCATCAGAGGCATGGGTCCCGTGCTGGGCGGCATATGAGCATCTGCCCGCGGGAACTCAACAGCTGCACCTCCTAAGTACTCCTCCTGCTGTGCCTGCTGCTGCTGCTGCTGCTGCTGCTGCTGCTGCTGCTGCTGCTGCTGCTGCTGCTGCTGCTGCTGCTGCTGCTGCTGCTGCTGCTGGCTAAGCTCCTCCTGCTCCTCTCTGTCATCCACCAGTCTCATCCTCGCTAAGAACATCTTCATCATGGGTATCCATGCCTCTGACAGAACTGTCGCGATCACCACCACGCCATGAACGGAGTCCCCCTCACCCGCCCTTCCACTGTTGCTGCCACTACTGCCCTCGCCACTCACCGTTTCACTCGTGTTACTCATGGTACCACCGGCTGTGCTGATCCTCCCTGCATCGCCATCACTACTGCCACCATTGCCTCGGGTGCTGTTTCCAGTGTTGTTGTCTGTGCTGCTGTCTGTGCTGCTGTCTGTGCTGCCGGCGCTGTGTGCGTCAGCAGCGGTTTCTGTTGCGCGCGAACCTTGTGGTGCCACGTCAGATGCTGGCTGCTTGCTTGTCATTGGAGGCATTCCTGCTGACGCGGCCAGGTCTGTGAGTACCTCCTGTAGGCTCCTGCCACGTTTGACCGCAAAAAGAGGAGGCCAAGAGACCGACATAGAAAGCTATACTAGGAATGTATCAATACATGGACCGTTAGAGAAAATGAGTGGGAGAGAGAACAGGACAGGAGAGGGCTAGTTTTGAGGAGCCTCGAAAGTGAGTGGGAGAGAGAACAGGACAGGAGAGGGGGTAAGAGAGGGGCGGGGAGAGAAAGAAGGAAGACCTGCTTACATGCCTCTCTCTACTACTCTTCAGACCATACGAAATGAGTCGAAAAGCTTTTGAGTCGGAGTAGAGGCATGTACATGCCTCTGTGAATGATGCATGCGTGCGTACCTCGATCTAGAACTCGAGGAATGCGTCCAGTACTCTGATCCATCTGCTGCTGAGGTAACTTTTGAGCCGACTCAAAAGTCACCAAAGTCAGCCTCTGTAAATGTGTGCGTGCGTGCGTGCGTACCTCGATCTAGAACACGAAGCATGCGTCCAGTACTCTGATCTATCTGCCAACACCCCTTCGTCCTCTCCCCTCCCACTCGCCCCATCATCCCCCTTCCCCCTCCAAGCCTCCGCCCCAGACTCCTCTGCCAGCTGAGCCGCAGCAGCGGGTGGGGGGGGCAGAGAGGAGGGAGCGAGAGAGATGATGAGGAGGGGGAGGAGGAGGAGAAGGGAGAGGAACAGCACGAGGTATCCCAACCAGCTTTTCGATGCCATCCTTGGCTTGAGACAGCAGGCGAGGCGAGGAGGGAGAGGAACAGCACGAGGTATAATGCCTCGCTCGCTCGCTATCTACTGGGTCAAAACGAGGGCGTTATTTGGCGCAGCGGATTGCCCTTAACACAGCCCCATCATAGGCGTTACACTCGTCCCCCCCTGGTGTCAACGTCCCGAGTGGCTCTGAACTTGAGGGAGTCTCGGCCCCCTCCTGCAGGGACCTCGATTTCGCTGTGCTGCTAGCGGCAGCGACTTCGCTGGTGGCTTCAGGCGGCCAGAGGAGGTTCATTCGCTGGGTTCAAGCCTGGAAAATGAGTCGACTCAAAACACGACTCAGCGACTTCGCCCGTGGCTTTAGGTGGCCAGCGGAGGATCGTTCGCTGGGTTCAAGTCTGGTAACCACATTTCAGTTCTCGCCACAGGCGGAAAACGTGGACCAGCCGGGTTCTGAGCCCTAGGTTCTGATTCCAGTATAACGCCTCGCTCGCTCACTACCTACTGGGTCAAAACGAGGGTGTTATTTGGCGCAGCGGATTGCCCTTAACACTAGCCCACGGCGAGGAGGGAGAGTAACAGCAGCCTGCTAAGGCGAAAGTGGAGGTTACTACTTGTAGGCGGGGCAGGACGTGGTGAGAGGGATGTGAGGCATGAGGGGGATGAATGAGCGAGATGAGATGAGATTCAGGAGGTTCGTGTCTTACACTACCGTATCAGTGACAGTCGTGAACGTGGCGATGACTTTTGAGTCCACTCAAAAGTCAATTCAGGAGGTTCGTGTATTACACTACCGTATCAGTGATAGTCGTGATCGTGGCGATGACTTTTGAGTCGACTCAAAAGTCAATTCAGGAGGTTCGTGTCTTACACTACCGTATCAGTGACAGTCGTGATCGTGGCGATGATGCTGCTGCTGGTGAGTTTTGCTCGGGTCGGGGGGGCTGAACCGAGTGACTGGCAGGGCAGGTGCTCGTTCATCCGAGGAGCGAGAAGGTGCGACCTCAGATGGTCCCATCCCATCCCATGGGGCCATTTTCAGGTGCAATCCACACTTACCAGGAAATCTACTCATGTGCGATCCATGTTATTTTGCAGGTACGAACAACCGATTCAGTTTTAAATCTTACTGTTTAAAATTACGATTTATCCGAGATCCGATTCAAAATTACACAAACAGTCGGAATCAGAAGCGATTTCGAATCACGCCAAGAAAAATTCGAATGGTCACATCATTTTGGCACAATTTCGACGACTAATTCTGCTCCGCGCTAAGAAATTTTGTAAAAGATTATTATGCCGGATCAACTGTACTGTTGACACAGGTGACGGATACTGCGCAGGCCATTTCAGCATTCCCTTCTTGGGCGTGCACCCCAAAATTCGAGAAACTGTCTGGGTGATAATGAAGTTTACCCTCATTTTAAAATAACCAGCTGGGTTTTTTTTCGCAATAGACGACGCTGCCCTAAAACATTTTCAGGTTCTTTAGGGGTTAAATATACCTAGATATATATTTTTAGGGCAGCGCGTCTATTGCGAAAAAAAATCCAGCTGGTTATTTTAAAAAGAGGGTAAACTTCATTATCACCCAGACAGTTTCTCGAATTTTGGGGTGCACGCCCAAGAAGGGAATGCTGAAATGGCCTGCGCAGTATCCGTCACCTGTGTCAACAGTACAGTTGATCCGGCATAAGAAATATTTTACAAAATTTCTTAGCGCGAAGCAGAATTAGTCGTCGAAATTGTGCCAAAATGATGTGACCATTCGAATTTTTCTTGGCGTGATTCGAAATCGCTTCTGATTCCGACTGTTTGTGTAATTTTGAATCGGATCTCGGATAAATCGTAATTTTAAACAGTAAAATTTAAAACTGAATCGGTTGTTCGTACCTGCAAAATAATGTGGATCGCACATGAGTAGATTTCCTGGCAAGTGTGGATCGCACCTGAAAATGGCCCCATCCCATGCCATGCCTTTTCGTAGTATCAGTGACATGGCGGGGAGAATGGGCTAGGAGGGGGGAGGGCGGAAGACGAGGAGGCGGACGAGAACCCGCGCCGCGCGGGCTAAGGATTTCCTGAGCTATCTGCGAGGCATGGGAAGAACTTCTTTCGTCGCGCGGGGCAGGAAACCCCAAATTGAACTTGCGTGGCTGTGGAAATAGTCGCGTGGTTGGTGTTGTGGTGGGCACTTCATTGCTTCGAACATCTCCCCCCACCCACACCTTTCCGCCTCTTCACCCACAACCACCCACCCACCCACCCCCTCGAAACCAATCCCAGCTTGTCTGCTTCCCTGCCAACTCGAAAAAAAAGAAAAAAAAAAATCAGACAAGGCGAAAAGTCTACCAAAAAAAAAATGTGATCACCCAGCCGCAAACGTTGAGAAGCTTCGCCTACCGCTCTGCCGTGGTAGGGTGAAGGTCGGTCCTTCCTGCTCACCACCCATCGATGTCGTGCACGTATCTGCTGTCAAGCAGTCATGCGGCAGTGAAGCAGTCGCATCGCAGGTCTATCGTGTAACTTAGGCAAAGTGAACCAATTGTCAGGCCTGCAGGAAAAACACGTGTGAGGGTTGTGCAGAGATTTCTACTTCAACGGTCGAGCTCTACGGAATGCTGTCTCTGCAGCCACGCAAACCTTGTTGTTCACTAAGGAGAAAATTTGGTTGTCTTGACAAGGCATAGAGTTGGCACACAAAGAAGATCCACTAGAATGGAATGAAAGATAGAATACAAGGGGTGAAGAACTACCCAACCACTGAACCTAGCAATAGAACGTTCTCACAAGAACGTTTAGATAACTACCACTTAGCTGCGCTTTGCCAAGTCAGCATCGGCAGGTGAAAATTACAACACATGCTTAGTTGGTAATTTTTACCTACTTAGAAGTAGTTATTTTAACTGTTCAGGTTGTTTAACCAATTTCTGTAACGCACGTTTTCGTAGTTACGAAAACGTGCGCCAGGTTCAGTTTGCTCAGGTGGTTCAATTCGCCCGCAGATTGAACACCCCAGTTCCGCGCACTGTTCCCCGGGGTCAATTTCTCAATGTTCCGAAATGTTCCAACTTTCCTGCGCAAAAGTTCCGAAACGATCGCACTTTTGCGTCGGAGGGGTTCGCTGGTAGAAGACCTGGTCCTCTGCAGAAATCCGCTTCTGCAGATGCGCCCTCCTCTGCAGATCAGAATTTCTGCAGATGTGCCCTCCTCTGCAACGCCACTTTCTGCAGGCGTGACTCCTCTTCAGCGGAACCTGTTTCTGTCAGAGGTCCGCTGGTGATCCCCGATTGATCCTAGGGAAGGGTTATGTTACAATCCGAAGTAGGACTTAGCGAAACAAGGATCGTTCAGGGTTGATCGCAGGTAGTGTTGCAGCGGAAGTAGTGAACTCAGGTCAGAGTGAATGTAAAATGACTGAGATGATAATAGCATGCATACATAGGGTTTATATAGAAATACAAAGGAATGCGAAACGACCTAGACTAGCCATGTACTCTAAGGGGTACATTCCCTTATTGCAGCGAAAACCGTGCGGCGCGGGAGTCAGTTTCAAACCTGTTCCCGCTCTTTTCATTTCAAATGTCTCTGCCTGCATCGGTCTCGATCAGGCGGTTGCTGTGTCGCTTCGATTCTTCTGACTCCTCGTCTTCGTACTCGGTAGAGTCGGCTCCTGCAGCGTACAGGAATGCCTTCTCATTGAACTTCGTATCGTAACACTCCCCTTCATTCCTGAACGCGAAGGGTGCTGACTTGCTTGACCACTCCAGTGAGATCAGAGCAGTGTTTGAACTGCTGACGTGGCAGACGCTTGGTGAGGAAGTCGGCTGCCATTTCAGTGGTCGGGCAGTATGCGAGGTCAACCTTGCCTTGGTCGATTTCGTCTTTGACGAAGAAGTAC